ATAAAATCGACTTATGTATTTTTCAAGTTACACACCTTTTGTATTTGAGATAGGAACCTCAAACACAATTAAAAACACTTTAAAAGGCAAGAAAAAATTCAAGTTATTGAGATTTTTGACTAAGGACACCCAAGTCCCCAAATCCCCACCCAATATACTGTATAGTATATACAGTATACATTAACGTAGTTGACTACCAATACCATTATAGGTACCAAGCACCAACCTAAAGTTCCTTCTTGTTTCCTTGTATCTATTATTATTTATTACTTTCTAGGAACCTATTTTACATTTTATTTTACGAATCAGCATACCGAATACGACTATAACATAAAATATTATACGAGCAATGAATAATAAATAATAATACAATATTCAAATATAAATAATAGCCATCCTAATCCTAACCACGGTAATATTGTCGACGCGTGCAACAACACGTAAGTCGTAGGCACTGAAATAATACTTACACTGAGTGCTGAAAAATCAAGAGCCAGCCCTGATAATATACACAAGTACCTAAGTCCTAGATAATAATTTTTTATAGCAAAYTTGAAACAAGCAATATTATTGTTGCTAGGTACTGTTCGATGGACTTGACGCAAATAAATAATTATTTATATTTTGTGTGTTTGAAATTAATAATAATAACTGCAAATAACAAACCTATACATATCGTCAATCATAGCCCATAGGCGATTGGTAGCTTATCATTTATGATATTATAAATAATATAAAATATTACATACAAATCAGGTACATATAGATGGCTAGATATCTACGTTATACGATATAGGTACCTACATTTAAATATTGAATCCACTTAAAACAAAATWGAAAATAGGTATCGCGGTCACTATAAATAATAATTATTAACTATAATAGTAATTAGGTATCATTATGGGTAGTCAAAATCGAGTACAGACTAGCATCGTGGGCCAATGATCTTACGACAAAAAACGCGTAGATGCTAGCACGCTGGGGACTCGACTAAAAAAATTACACCATTAAAGAAAGTTATACGTTAAAATCCGTTACTTTACTGWAAACCCTATTTAATTAGGTCAGAATTTGGTAGTCGGACTTAGTTTCGATATATTGTCGCAGCTGTGCGATTCTTACGCGTTTACTCTACACTGTAGTTTACCAAGCCTAAAATTTATATTGATTTTTTCGAAACTTATGTACTTGGAGTTAAAAACGATGATACAATCAAGATTAGGTAGTTTTAAAGTTATCGATTCGGCGTTTTTTCCTTAGAATAACGCTCAATTTTATCACACTTTTAAAGTCTATGCTGTAGGTACTAAGAATATAATAATAACTTTTATTACCATTATTTTCTGATAGACAACCGGTTAAGTGATAAAACTCGAGATCCTACAGACCTCTCGGTCAGAGGTACGGAGGCTAAAAATTATAATAATAAAGTATTAATTATATAATTTAATATTTTCGGGAAAAATTAATCTATTACCTACTAATTAGTACTAATAAATCATAATAATATAAATTACTTTAATTGATATATAAAAAAAAACATATCATGAATTTATATAAATTATAAAGATTATAGGATGATACTATGATAGACTGTCTCCACTCAGAATTATTTTTCATTTACAATGATATAGAATTATAAATTTAACACAATATCCATAACAGTGACTTTCTGGAGACTTACAGTACAAAAGAGCTACTTGTATCCATTTGTCTACTTCATTTTTAAAACAAAAATTATAAAAATAATTGACAAATATTTACTAATTAAAACACATTAGTTAAGAAGACACTACACCATCATGTGATTTTCCGTCTTATTAACACCGCAAATTCTACGTTCTTAAATAACCCATTTAACACCTATTTGTGTAATATTGGAGCAATTTTATCTGTCATCACATTTATAAGTAAGAATTTTATCTAGAAAATCCCTTGGGTATTTGAATACACAATAATTTTAAAGTGAATAAGTATTTTAAGATATACATATATTAAGTAATTTATAATTTTAAAATAATTATAAATTGCTTTGAAATAAAAATAAAATAAAACCTATGAGATTCACCAACCTATGTTCTTACTTCTTAATTTTATGATAGATTAATTCACTCTAGTATTAAACATCACAGTTAAATGTATTACTAAGACCGTACAATTCGCCATTTTATTCCTTTGTAAGACAGATACAATGCATGCAGGTAGCATAGCCAAATTATAAACAATGCAAATTTGCAAAAGAATTTCATAGAATTAAATGTATGAAAAATATATGTTAGCATAACATATTGTATGAATCTTCATTTTTATTATTGTTGGTATCTTTAGCTGTAAAAATGAAATAATTAATCAATATTCTAACCGAAGTTCAAATGTTATAAGAAATAAGAGCCTTACAACATCAAAATTTAAGTTTTTACATGCCCATAAATAATAAAGTAACTATTTTTTATATCAGAAAAATAAAAACTATAATCATTCATAAATCATAAAATTTAATTTAAAACAATAATTAACAGATCTAAAATAAATAAATAAAATACATTTTGTTTTTTAACATTTTAAAGTCATTACATTATTATTGCACGAATTTGATCTATTTGGTAATTTTTTTAACTTGCCACAAATAAAAATGATTTATAGTTCAATTAATGTCAAGTATTAGATCAAATTCATTTCACATAAAAAAGTATACATTTCATAGTTTAAAAAAAAAATCGTATACTAGTTAATAACATTTTTTTTTAAAGGAATGTTAATATCTCTTAATTTAGTCATAATTAACAAAAGATTAAAATCATTAGAACATTTAGAACCATTAGTTTTAAAAAATACATAACATTTCATAAGAGTTTCTTATAAATGAAACTAAAGATATTTAGGGTCCATTATTATTGACTTTTTTCATTTTTATTGTATACTAAAGTTGTATCCTAATAACAAATRATTTAGTCTATATTATTGAGTTAATTTATTATATCAATTAACTCTAAGTATACTAAAAGGCTTCAGGAATTTTAATATAAATTAACAAATAAAATTTGGCAGCTTTTGGAAGTTCAAAAATTATTTCTGGGATATTTAAAATACATAACATATGCACACTTCAGAAAAAAATATTATTGTAATAGATTGGCTTCAAATATACAATAAATAAGATTATTAATTTATTTAAATGTAATTAAATTTTAGAAAATCAATGCCCATCAAATAAATCAAAATACTATAGTTTTGGTATTTTGAAATTGTAATAATATGTATCCATGAATATTTTTCTTAATGTTATAAGATTATAAAACAAATATTTTGATTTTGTTGTAAAACTTATTGCTTTGGTTGCAGTCTATAATTTATCTAAATGTATCAAATTTTTTTAAAATACAAAACAAATATATAAATAATTAGCCAACCCTCTCCAAAATACTTGTATTAAAATTTGATCAGCATTAATTTATAAAAACAATATTCATACCTAGTATTTATTGCATGTAAAGTTTCTTTGAAGAATGAATAAATAAAATGTTTTGTCAATACATAAATTTTAAGACTTAATGAAAATATTGCAAGTTACTATGATTTTATTATTGCAGTTATGTTTTATAGTAACCAAAATTCAATCGTAATTGTTCCAAGAAGACAAATGTAAGAATTGTTTGAGGAGCCAATCTTACAAATGCTGGAACGTAGCCCTAAGCAAAAATAAAAATACATACAATATGACATATTTTACAAAAGTAGTGATCTCACCTTAAAGAATCCCATTGGYCCAAGCTTTGCAGTGTATCTAACTAAATCAAGTGTACCCTAAAAAATATAAACAGTTAAAATTATAAGTAAAATATAACAATTTTTACTACATGGTTAAAACATACTGAAAATTCGCCTGGTTTAGCATTCATTGCMCGAGTCTTTAACACATCCAAAGGTTGAGTAAGGGTTGTTGCAACAGCACCCTATAAATTTAGTAAATAATGAATAAATTGTCAGAAAAATAGTTTCAATTTTGTTTCAATTACAGCAGTAAGACTAGATAAAAAGTGTGTAGTAGAGTTGTCACCAAAGTATCCAGATGATAACAATAATTGTTTCACTTGATCATAGAATGATAACTGTCCAACAGTCATTAAAACAGCCCGCATTGTAGCTGTTGATGCACCCGAAAACAATCTGGTAAACCCTTCTTCTCGCCAAACACGTATAAAACCATCAAAAGCATGCTTATAACTAAAACCATATAATTGTATTAAAATATATTTTTACTTTAATCAAAGAAAATATTAAGAATTAAGATGAGATAATTTTTTATGGTTTAATTATTAAAGCATATTATATTGCTTCACATCTATGTCTAATTTCAATAAAATTATACTTTCTGTATTCAAAGTGTTTTCATAAATATCCATCTGTTGGATTGAATATTAAGACCCATACTTTAATATCCCTTGAAGGATTTTTCTATAGAAGTTGGTACAATACACAAATCAAATAGATTTGAATCGATAATATTTCATGTAAATGTTCACTAGTAAATATATGCACACCAAAGGTTTGTTAATACAATATGAATACTGAACAAATAAAATGTTAAAATTTCATCACATTCATACTTTCTGCGATTTTCCAGTGGTAACTTTACGTCATTCTGCATCCGTACATTAATCATATCAGCTGGGGTTCCAACAAACCCACCAGCTGCTCCTGCAGCAGAAGCCAACAGCACTGTTTTATAGAACGGAATATTTTCACCAGGAGTGGTCATTGCTTGTTTACCAACCTAAAATTAATACAATTCATTACATATTGTAGAGGTCAAAGACACTTAGGTATAACACCTCATATATTCCAAATCGGACAGTTGAATATGATAGTTGTCGACACAATGACGCTGAAATACCTGTGTACAGTGAGAATACCCCTTGTTCTCTGATGATTTTCATAGCCAAACGGCTGACAGACAGTTTGCCTTCTTGTTGTGTTTGTAAATGTACCTGCATAACAGTCTCAAAATAGTTGGTTCAGTTGTTAATATTAATTTAACATCTACCTTGAGCAAATCCAATGGATGTGTACAACATGCAGCACCAGCTGAACCAATACCGCCGAAATACCATCGCGAGAACTTTTTACTTTTATCATTAGTTGCCATTATATTGTTGTTCTACCAATTGTGTCCTGAAGAAAGTACAAAATCAAACATGAATAGGTAAAAATATAGTCCAACTTGTAAATAAATATGATTGCAAGTAAAAATTAAAATAATTCAACAAATTTTAAATAATTGCTAAACAAGTAAACATCRTCAAAACTAACTCCATTGCCTGTAATTTATTCAGACCTCTGTGTCAAGGTAACAACAAAATCCAAAAATCTAAGCTCAAAATAAAATCATAATAATCTATATTCTGAGTACCTACACTGGAAAACCTTACTGGAAGAAAACGAGACGTATTTGAAGTTTTATGAATTACTTGCTGTTCCCAGATGTTCTTACACGAAATAACTTCTCAACTTTCCTCTTGGGTTCTGGTCATGATAAATTACAGATTAATATTTGTTTYAGCYGAGGGGGAGAACATAGGTACTTTACTACTTTATTGACATACTAAATATTTAATGGAGGTCGGAGAATTGTAGACTACCGGTCTATAATCTATAGTAAAACCATCTAAATGGTGTGAAGAGGGGTGAGCCGTGAAGGGCAAATTGTGATAAGACAATGTCAAATTGGTCATGAGATAAGCAAAATTTTAAGCAAATTCAAAAAAGTGAAATAATATATTATAGAGCGAACTCCGAAAACGGCGAAAACGACCAACGAGCTATTATCACAGAATTGATATTAATATTACTGATACTCATACAGAATATTGTTTGTTTATCTGTTTTATTATTATTTTCATTTATCACAATCACGAGCCGGAAACGATAGACTGGAGGGGTATGGAGGTATGGCTCTCAAATGTTTCGGTTTAGTACAAGTGTATACTGTTGTATGGTACAATACTACAATGGTGACTGTAACTGCTACCTGGTGTACTACACTACTACTAATACTAAATTGATAATTATTATAAAAGTCTTTATTTATAATTATAAGTTATAACTATCTACCTATATTCTATATTTTATGCAAAAGTACAAAACACGAATACGTACCTATTAACCTATTTAGACGTTTTAAAGTTTTTAAAGGCTTTAAGTTTTAAGAGTTTAAAATGATATAAAATAGATATTTAATTTTGTTTATAGCAATTATTTTATATGGCTAACAAATTTGTCAAGCATTGTGAAAACAACGATGATTTTTAAATGACAATTGATGACTTTTTTGACAATAATCAAAGTATCAATTTTCTTTGTATTAAACATAAAAATATGTACCTAGGTACTTGGTACTTCCACAAATTATTTCAAATTTTATGATCATGCGAATGCAACTGTATTCAATTATAACAAATAAAAATTCAATTAAACTTAATGCGAAAAAAATGGCTAGCTAAATTTAGTAAATACATAGTAATAAATCATAATTCTTATATCTGTATATATTTAAGATTATTAAAAAGTATGTATTATTATTTTAAGATAACTGATGTATTTATTTTGTAAATACACCCATTATTTGTGAATAATATACAATGAAACCTCTGAATAGCAGACACCTCGGTCATCAAAATTTTGTCCGTTATTCGAAGGTGTCCATTATCCAGAAGGGATACATTTTTGAAATTTATTTGTTTAATAATGTACTATGTATGTATAATGTTATTAGTTATTACTTATTATTTATAGTAAATTATTACATTTTTATATCTTTACAAATGATTATTAATTATTATTATTTAAAGTATATGTTTACAACAGTGTCGCATTTAGGGGGGGGGGCACTGGCTACAACTGCCCCGGGCACCAGTAATTAGGGGACGCCAAAATGTTGTGGTCACAATTAGAAAAAAGAAATGAAAAATATGAAAATCTACTTATAAATTACAATTTTTTTTTCAAATTAACAGAGATGACATCAATTCAAGTCCGAAAGAATGCTGAAGTACTTAGAAATGAATACAAAGATGATCTCAGCACYTTATTTGCTAATGAATGTGTTCATTTTAGGAGTCACTTATWAAGTATTGATGATAAGGCTCCTAAAACTATTCAGGATATGTGTAGTTTTTTGAGGAAAAATGATTTAATAGGTATGTACCCTTATATAGATGTATCTCTCAGAATGCTGTTATGTAYTCCTGTCAGTAATTGCTCGACAGAACGGTCATTCTCGTGCTTGAAGCGTGTTAAAACTTATCTGAGGTCTTGTACCACTGAAGAAAGGCTTAATTATTTAGCWATTATGAACATAGAATCTGATATAACAGCTAACATTGAGTTTGATGACGTTATTCATGAATTTGCAACACTACAAAGTAGAAGAAAAATTTAAGTACCTATCTATACAARCAAATATTATATTATATTATTACATTGTTTTTATTAAAATTGTTAATACATTGTACTTATATAAAATATAATATTAATTTACATAGTTTATATGATTTTCTTATATTTATTCATCATGTACCTAAATATGTAAAAAAAAAAAAATTATATATTATAAATAGTGTTTAAGTGGTATACATTTAAATATATCTACGTCGAGAGGGCAGAGGGATCATGTAATTATTAAACAATATTATAAAAAAAACAGTAAAACAAATATTCTTTTCTTTGCTTAAAATTTTAAAGGTTCACGAGGATCTATCTCTTATATTTTCTATAGGTAGGCCCTTAGAAGGGCGTCGTTTTTTTTTTTGCACCGGGGCGCAAAATGTCTAAATGCGGCACTGGTTTACAATTAAAATCAAAATTATGTAGGTACGTGTATTTTAAAATTATTTTTGTTTGAAAATATCGGTGAGCTCTGTCTGTTTATAGTTAGTAATTACACCGTCTCTGACCTCTGTGAAATACTGAAATCTCATCATTAAGGTGCGGTTTCGTTTCTGCAGTCGACTGCAACAGTGACTGCAACAGTGACTGCATACAGTGTACGTACATATAAGCTTATGGGTCCGATTTCGTTTATGCGACGGACGCACGTGCCGCTTGCGGTCGATTGCAGCGACTGGTGCAAGGACCAGTACAATGCAGTCAACTGCAGCGACTGTCTATAATATTCCTCCCACCTCATTCAAAAAATGATTTCTTTTCGGGACTTCAACTTTATTTAGTAAACTTATATCTACTCGTCTATCTTTGATGATCTTTGGAGATCTTCGAAGATGTTGACCTATACCTACGTCAAGTGTACCGCCGTGTACCTCTTCATTGAATCTCCAACGCATGTATAATACCATTAGAAATATCATTCACTAATGTTACAGCAGAAGTAAAAATAGTACTGCCCTTAACCACTATTGATAAAGTAAAATTACTTACGCTATTTACAGCAGACAAAGCATCCTGTAAACTTGTTGTTTGATATTTTGAAGTTTCTGCTTCTTCAGTCTCGTATTCTTTCTCATTTTCGGGCTCATTAGGATCATCAGTGCTCATATATTAGATAGGTGCCGTGAGTGGAAATGATTTTGCCTAATTCAAAATATGTCTACTTCAATAACACTGCTGTCGATCAGTGTGATAAGAGCTAAAGTTTCTCCGTCTATTACGGATTGTTCTCCGGTATCAATTGTTTTTCCTAATTGTTCGTCGCCTTGGTGACTGAAACCACATCGCAAGAAGTATTTTTTTACAATTTCAAACTTCATTTGGGCTTGAGCAGAAGCCACCCAATACACACACAGCATCCAAAACATATTTTATCAGGCACGTCGCCAGGGGGGCCTTAGGGGGCCTGGCCCCCTAATAAATGTCAGTGGCCTCGGACTGGCCCCCTAAGAAATGTCAGTGGCCTCGGACTGGCCCCCTTGATTTTGATTTTTAAATATCATGGTGTGAAATATAATTGTCCCAAGCCGGTTAAATCCTAATTGTATACTATATGGTACTCCATAATATATAGTAAAGTTAACGATCGTATAGCAAAAATTAAATTCCGAAATTTTAAAAATATTCGTCAATAATACAAGATAGAYAATAAGACGTCTATTAATAAATTGAAATCTAGGAATGCCAAATACGGGTATCGAACGCACATTTGATAAACACAACCATAGTAAAATAAATAATTTGAATTGAATAATTGCATACCTACATATTTAGATATTTTTAAAACTAAAAATCCTTAAGTCTTAATGATGATTTATTACATCGATTCAATTASTCTCTGTTAATATTATTTTTGATTAAAATTTGTCTATCAACATTCAACATCCTTATGTATAAATCTGTACTTTATAAAATAAAACTTTACCATTTGATTTTGCCCTGCAATTATGAACTGCACATGCAGGCATTATTTTATATATATGTATATGTATATAGAGTTCAAAAACCACTTGACTAACTAATTAAAAATAAAAAAGGATTCTAGAGTAAGTACGTAAGGAATGAATAAATAACACCTGCAGTTTTGTGAATTTAGAATTTAGAATATTTTTATTTCTCTTAGACATGTACAGACAGGTTAATACACAGCAAAACATAACATTTTAATGTATATATGTCACCGGCAATATAGACAATTCAGGTATTTTGCAAACTAACTATGCATTATACATATTGCCGGTAACATATAATATACAATAAAACAACAGACATATTATTATTGAAATATACAATAAGATAAGAAATATAAAATGTAAAATAAGTTTAATTATAGTAGCAAATATAAAAATATTTATATATTTATTTTACTATGGCGCTAAGGAACTATTATAGTGCTCTAGTAGCGCGGTGTCTCTATGTTCATAAACGCAGTGCAATTGCAATCAGTAAAGATCGTAAAAAACCGTTGTCCCCCGAATGCACAAAAAGACAAGGCAATGCACTTGCGCGAACTAGGACGAAAACACGTATCGTGTCGAGCATATACTTTGTATTTATTTTACCATGGTATTRCCCACCATTGAATGTCAGTAGCATTAATCATAATCGTGGAGTTACACTATAATAAAGCCAATTTGTCACTCAGCCATCAGTTATGCACTTATGCTGAAAGAATTACGCATTCATACAATCATATCAGTTTTATAGCTCCAAATCAGGTAGCCAGTAGGAACGTCGATTTAGAGTGCGACTGACTTGTTCAACACTTTTATAACTTGCTCATTAGTCATTGCTGTGTTAGAACTCTCAAGTCTCAAATTCAAATATATCGTGTAAACTTTTAAAAACTTAATATCTATCATGATTTTAATGTAAATACGTATTAACTAGTCGATGGTCATAAGCAATTTCAATCACTTTTGCCGCATTAACATACTAAGCATCGGCCAAATGGCCCCCATAGGGGCGGTCGTTGTCGCTGTACATACGCGGCAAAAGTAATGGCACAGAGAGGAGGGGACCCACGTATGTCGTCGTCGAAATTATAGAATAATTTGAGCAAGCACCCAGTTCTTTTCCTCGCGCGTTGACGTCATAAAYGGGCGGCCATTTAAAATTAATTGCTCCACGTGGAGCCGTTATTGGGTGTTCGATTAATTAGTAAACATTAAGTATGAGTAAATATGATAAATAATAACATAAAAAAAAATCATAAAATGAAACTGTTGACCATGCGTTAAATTGCAATATTATGCGAGTAATAAAAAAAAACATGACATCGTTCTTAGAAACATACGATATGTTGATAAAAATGCCTATATTATACTTTTTATTTAATTTTTTTAGTAAGTATTCTGCTTAATA